AACCACGATACACATGCGATATCGACTGTCTACCGTCTGATACGGTAGCAAAAAGTCATGTGCTGACAACCCCACACACGCAAACATCCTACAAATAGGATGCCAGCACAGCAACACGACACAACGCAACAGAGCTTCGCGCGTCGCCCAGCTCGGAGCAGAGCCGCTCAGGATTTTTACGCCGTTTCACTCACGGATATCCAGGACTACGTGTGGCTGTTACAACAGCGAAGAAGACACGAAACATGCATCCGCATTTACAACAGGATTTATCAAACTGTACCTGCAAAACGATAAGTCCTTGTTTGCATATATATACCTATTGTAATAATTTTACTCAACAAGCTGATATTGTTAGTGCTCCCCGTTTTCTCGTTCGCACAACTAACTTTCGAGTTCCAGTAGAGCATCAACACGCTTTCCTCGTCGTATCCAATATTCTCCTGTGACCATTCCACATCCATCAGTTGCATTTACTTTTCATGGCTGTGACCACGAACTTCAAAAATAATCGACAATAATTTGAACAAACCTCAAATCCTGGAATTACACCAGCTTGTGCCACCCCTTTTGGGAAGTGCTATTTCCTACCAAGATTCTCAGGTCACACCGTCTCGCCAAATTGTGTCCACAAGATAGCGAATCCCACGTGTTGATTTAGGGAACATGTGCGATGACAAGTTCAGAGAGCGGCTTACATTCAGCTGAAACTCGACAAAGGCGCTATAGGCGCGAAATGGGAACAACAAAACGGGAAATCATGTTGCACACAATAGGAATTGAAGAAAACACCAACACGATGAACCCTTGGAGTGATTTTGCGATATGCGGGGAATCATATCGAATTTGTGGACACACGCTTTGTGAGTGCACGGACCCGTAAGCGGATCGCGATTGCCTCCTCTGTGACCAGACAATGATTTCTAGTGAACACGTCTTGGTGCATGGTACAGCGTTTGGAACGGAATCGATCTCATGACTCGTATCAACCAAATGGCTACCACTGCGCTCGTAATAGACCTCCGTGAGTCGGTTCTCAGCCTAAATGCGTTACGCCTATTTATTTCTTGCATAACAATCGTGTCGTGCATTTTGTGCTTCCTGTTGTACAACGGCAGGTGAATCAGAGAACTAGCATACTTAGAACGTGAACTGGCAGTTTAGATTCAAGATGTATGGGCATTAACTGAATGGTCCCGAACCACACTGAGTGAAGAGGCCAAAAACGAATTTGCGGGTCGTATGATGTAGGCGCTGAGGCAGATGGCCCCCGCCCAGGTTCTCCCTGAAATGAAGGGCTGATAATAATATGTTTTCTTTTTCCTGTAACTTGTTTCATTTTCATAGTTGTGGTAGAAACGTCTTGAGATGAACCCATTGAGATCTTTTGCGAGGTATGCTAGCTAGCGAATGATTTCTGTTTATGTTCGTTTTAAGAGCTGATCTTTCTCGCCATGTGAGCGACACATCGAGTCAAATTCCTTTATGTTGCCGTGAGACCATACTATATACAAACATATTGTTCTTGATAATTCATGGAGGAAAGCATTTGATTCAGACCTCACTTGTACGGGCACCTAGGCAGGGTTGAGCCCCACAGATTGTGGTGACCTTCAAGCACAAACCTGGTTACATCGCTATCGGTTTCTATGCTGAGTAGAAAGAAACTTTTCTTCTGAAGCAAATTCTCGAATGTAAAGCCAGCGCGCACTCGACTGAGGTCGTTTCGTGGGAACGATCTAACATGAAGCTAGAAAATCATAATTTGCCTCCGTATTGAACTGTGGGTTTCGACGGTAAATAAACATGAAATTTAGCATGTAGGGCTGATTTCTCCCTGTAATTCACATTGCTTGAACCTTGCGAGGAATGGGACGCTTGTGTCGAGAATCCGGACTGGTGTCTGTGCGCCTGAAGTTTGGAGCTATTTTAACTTCATTTCTTTTGAATCTCGAGAGTGGAAGACCAGTTTCCTTTTATTCTGGGGATACTATGTAAAATTTTTCATCGTTGAGCTTACTTAGTCTTTCGCAGCCAGAAAGGTTGCTACTTGGGCTAAGGTCCACGAAGGAAAGCCTAATACACATTACCTCATGTGTCCAGGCCATGAGTTGGCTCTCAGTATAGGGTGTCTGAAACAAGCCGACTTCTACGACTAAGGCTAACGGTACGCGTCTTTGGAACCCATAGGTTATAATTCACCTGGCTTCACGCGCCTCAAATCTCAACACTATAATCAGTTCACACTGGTCAACTAATGAATCATCTATCCACAGTTCCTTGTCTCAAATACTTTTGGCAAAATAAATTTCCCAGTAAGCTCAGAATATCCAACCCACTTTAGAGCTCTCCTTTTTTTTACCCCCTCCAGGTCGGATAAGGTACAACCATTGTTAAAATTTTCTTTTCAGCTTCCGTCGACGAATCCTGAAGCGAACCGAAATTCGCACCCAATCTCCTGTTCGCTGAACCATACTGATCATCTTCTCGACCACTTGGGTGGCAGAACAGCAGATTTGCGGAATATGGTGGTCTTTGTAGGTCCTGACACCATTGTGTCTGTAACGATGGCATTACAACGGGTGGGAAGCTAGATTCAATAGCCGTTGACGACGTCCATATTAAGTTTAAGTAACCAATGCTGAACACCTAATGGGGCCAGTCCACGACAGAGCTGAGTGGTTGTCACATCTGTAATCAATATCAATGGTCTACATGATCTGGATATCCTAATGAACTTATCAAATCGTCAAAAGTGGATGGGGTAGAGTCTGTTTGTGCAAATTTCGCTGGTGAAGATTAGGGTGGCAGGGGCACATAGGGCTGGATGTGCCCATCTGAAAACTTGCGCACTCTATAGGATCTTGTTGGAATCTTGAGGAATGCTGAATTATATGCCGGGTGCCTGTTTTGACTGTTGCAACGCTGTTCAAGTTCGACTAAAAATGAATTCGTTTCTCTAGTTGGTGACTTGCTGGGATGAAGCCATGTTGCAGGCCAGATGAAATGAGAGATGAGATAATTTTATTCATCAGTTCGTAAACTACCAAACGTGTGTATTGAGCTATAAGGAAGTTCCCTGAACCTGATCAGATTTTGTCTGAAAGCACTTATTTGTGAGCTAATGTGGTTGGTATTTTATTGTTTCTTTCGCAGGAAAACCATTTATGCCCGTAGCTAATACCATCGCGATGACCGGCTTAGCATCTAGCATGCGAAAGAATGGAGCAACAGGGGAGAAGCCACACACGGAGAGTGATTCCGTAGCAATGAGTAACCTGAAATAAGCGCTAGTATAGGGATAATAGTAATTCCGGTGGATACGTCTGGTGATAGAGCGCATGCTATAGGTTGCTCCCATAGAATTTAAAGCACCCAGCATTTATTCGGTAGAAAAGAGCTATGAATTGCCTGGTCTTTGTTGGGAGACTACCTTTGGTGTTTTCAGCTGCGTGGCAGTCAGTTTTACTTCTGAGGATGCCGAGTGGTTTCGTTATGTTAATGAATGGAATATGAGTGTTATTGCATTGTCATCTTCAGTTAGTGCGATGGGCGTGTGTTTACTTTATCGCATTAGATGGAGCATGTTGGTGAACCCATTCTTGATTCAGACTCATGTTTCTGAAACTCAGTCTCGGAAATCTCAGCCTGGCGTGTATTGTGGTGTAGTTGTTCACCAAATCCGCATCTCAGTATAGTGGGGTCTAAGAAAAACATTCATGATTCCCGATGTTTATCAGGTAGGAATTTGGAACTGCGTAGTGTTTCGCCGAAACATCGATCGCAAGGCTGCTTTCACGTGGTCGGTGTAAGGTGATGCGCTTAGGTGGACGTCGCGTGATAAGTGGAAGCCCGAGTCTTGTGAAATTGTTCAGAGTTAGATTAGAATGGAAAGCAATAACTGTGCGAATCACGCGAACCGATGCCACCAGCCACGTTTTCCCTGAATATCACACGAACTGAATCATTATATGAGAAATTTACACACACCCATACAAACACATGTGCACACGGTTTGTGTCACCAAACTCATCGAAAAATTAGTGCGAAATGCCTGTTGTTCGATACGACCCTGAACGCTGATGACTTTGCTTTTGCAGCGCCTGATTCAACACACACACACACACACACAAGTATCTCAACAGAGCATGGGTTTAGAATGGGACGAACGGACGAATTTACCCTATTCACATACTAGGTAGAAAACACCACAGACCGTTTGATCATCCACACAAAACCATGGGATTCCATGAAGCT